TGGATTAACCCGTCTCTGCACAACCAGTGCCTGAGCTCCTTCACCCCGGGGCTCTCAGCACCCAGAGGCAGGAGGGTGCACCTGCCAGCAGGAGCTCAGGAAGTGCGCCTGGGGCCCTTCACCCCGATTCAGCCCCACCCAATCTTGCCAATCTTCTTCCACCCTCACAGCCCAGCCACCACCATCTAGCTTTGCCTGTTTATGAATCATTTCATATTGTCCCAGAAACTTGAGAAAAGCAGAGAGTATTTTTCATTTTTATATTCTCCCAAATTCTATGCAGTAAAATTCTTTCTACTGGAGAAAGCATCCACTCTCTAGTGGCAGAAAACGGAGTTGCATGGGACTTTGAAAATCTGGAGGAACCCAGCCACTATTGCAAACCTGAGAGGATGTAAAGAACATGCAAAGGAATGGAAAGAACAACACTGACAACGATGATGATGATGATGATCACTGGTGCCTGGGAGGTGGATATGGGGTGACGGAGGAATGCCCTTCCTTATAGACTACAAAACACATATGCATTAAAGGTAAATTATTTCTTCCTCACTCTTTCTATATCATGCTTTGAAGTCATGCCTAAGTAAATGAGTCTGAGCCTTGTAATCTTATCAACCAAATGTCACCACCTCTGGCAAACCTACACTGACACCTGGTACTGTTGTCTCAAGCCCATCTGCAGACTAAGCAGCAAACTTTGGTTTAAGGAAATAAACATGTTGTATAGAACAACAAATACAGGGAGGCCAGTCACAGGTCCGCCTTTGCTTTATAGAGATCCAGAGCAAATAGGCCCTGTTTGGAGTTGCTTTGAATAAATAAAAATATGGGTGAACTAATTTAACTCTTTTAGAGAAACTATATACTTTCTTGCTCTCCAGGGTGATCAAATCAGATGGCACCATGAAAAAAACACAGCAAGGCAAACACCATTATGTGGATTTTCCTCCTTGACTGATTCATGAAATAGCCAAAGCTTTTTTAAAAAAGAATATTTTTTAGATTTAGATTAGTGGTGGCATTTTGAATTGAGACCAAAATTCAGCAGCATTGGACTCAAGTTGGCCATATGGTTATGTGTGCCTGACAGGAAAACAATGAGCTAAGTCCATTAAGGAATCATATAAAAAAGTTCTCACAGAATTTTCAATTCAGAGCCTTCTGTAGGGGGCAAAAAGCTACATACAGCAACTTGTTCATGTAAAGCTACTTCCTCACCACTGGGACTGGGAAAAATGGAGTTTCTTTCAACATAAAAGCAATGTTGTAGTTTTCTCCCTTTAATTTAAATATCATGATTACTAATTAATTCATTTTTTAAAAAGGATAAGGCATGAAACTCTATATATTAATACAACAAAAAGATCAAATCCTACCTATAAAAACTTCTGTGCTCTCCACAAAAGTGTGTTTCAGGTTTTTTGTTTTTGTTTTTGTTTTTTTGCAATCCTTTTAGAGAACGGCAGTGTTATTTTCCCATTTTACTTGGAGATCTCTAAATAATCCTTGATAGAAAAAGACCTATTTTTATTCTGTCTTCTGGCACTGTGGCATGTTATAGATCCAATCAAAGTTTTGTCAAAGAAAAACAGTCTCCCTTTTGAAAGTGAATAAAATGTTCATTTACTTTGGTAAATCTCCTCTTTCAATCAGACCATCTGGATCTAAATTAAGGTACCCAACTTTGAACATGGGTATGCTCACCATCTGGCTACCCAAAAGCGGCAATTACTTCAGGTAAATGAACATTTTACCTAATTCTGAGCAAGTATATTCTACTACAGAATTCTATGGCATAAATACACACCCTTTTTATCTGCCTGGTACACATGCACTTGAGGAAAAAGTGACTGTGTGTTCTGCCTAATGGAGATAATTTACTGCTGTGTGTAAACATTTCAAACTTCGGAGAATTTATTTATTTATTTTCAATATTCAACAAGTGATACACTTTCCCTTTAGCCAAACGGCCAACAGAAACGAGAGGATTTGCCTCAAGTAGAGAAATTTTGGGCTTCGATGGGGAATGTGTCTCCCAACCTTTCTCCAGGCAGTATGGGAGCCAGGAAAGGGAAGTCTTCCCTGTAGGACAGGACAGGTCCCCTCCAAAGCCTTTCAGGGCTCAAAGGTATACAGCACATGGTGAAATCTAATTTTCCTTCTCTCAGACCTCTGAGCAAGGAGTTGAAAAATCAGATTGGGAAATTGAGGAGTTGTTTCCACACAGGCTAAGGGGACTGGATTGTAGTATTACTCTTTAAATATTTCAAGTTGCTTAACATGACCCCTCATCGGCAGATTAAGTATTTATTTTCATTGTAGAAATTATCTGATAATTAAATTGGCAAAAATGATGACTTACTAAAAACCCAGGAATTTAATCATTAATCAAATGAAAAGTCTGAGTCTGCATCGGTGTCCTTTGGAAAGAGGGTTTCAAAATGTCAATTTACATTGCATTTTGGGGATGAAAACATCACCGATAAAAGTTCAACCCTGGCTGAGTTCCTGATAATGGCATGTTTAAAAATGCTTCAGTTTCTCTAGTAATGACAACAACCAAAGATAAATGTTAATATATATAATGTTGAGATGATTGTGAAATAGTTTATTCCATTTCTTTTGCCTTATCAACTCCAGTTATCAACATCCAAGAAATTATCATAACACTCTGGTATACAAGGAGGGGGGAAAAAGAAAGAAAGAAAAAAAAGGAAACAAGACTTTCTCTGAGATGCTGTTTAGAAATAAAACCATGCTGGGATCTCCAGAAACATGGAAGTCAGCATTTCTATTGGGATGCAGAGTTTAACCACATATGAACTAAACTTTCAACCAAGTTCATAACCACATATGAACTAAACTTTGCATCTTCGGAGAAGACTTAAGAAGAGAGTTTGAATACAAATATCCACCATGGGTACAAGAAATCAGTTAGGGTAAAGCAGAAACATCTGGCCTTTTTGAAGAGTTCTGTTAATTTGAAAGCACTGACCAAAACAAGCTCACTTCCACCAAACACATTTTGGCACGGCTCAAAAAAACAAACAAACAGGATTTGTTGAAGTACTTACTTCACCACAGATTGATCAGAAATGATATGTAACTCCCGCTATTGATATTTTGATACAAGTTTGTTTCTAAACCTAACATGCGCATTTGCCTTCTCTGCCTTTACCCCACATTTGATATGATCATGGGTTTACTCTGTATGCCTTCGAATATGTTGGAGGAAGTGGTGGAAGGGGATTTAAATGGTCCACATCTGATCTTAGGAGAATGAATAATTTATACATTCACGTATAGATTTTAACTATCATACAACTACTAACGCATTGGACAATTTATTTATATGATGTTACTTCATAGTACTCTATAAATAATAAAGCATTTGTGTTCTCCCCTAACCCACTAACATTTCCCCAGCCTCTAATACAATAACTGCTGAGAGTTTTCAGACAACATGAGCCCTAACCCCAGGGATCAGAAAACCCAAGTTCAAGTCCCCGCTCTCCCCTGACAAGCCTTCTGCCCTCTGGCACCCTGGCTGCTCGGAGCCCAGTTTTGTGCAGTTGGGGGAATGACTTGAGAACAAAGGAGGCTCTGCCAATGGCATCATTACTAATATCCAACCCACCTCTACTTTTAAGGTTGCCAATCTCACTTTTTGTTGTTCATACGTCCTACAGTCATTTAGTTAATCAGTTATTTTTAATGCAATGGATTAGGGCAAAAAGCAAGAATAACTTTTTGATTCACTCAGCAATACGTTTGAAGAGTTACTACCATGGACACTCGTGATAGTTAACATTTACAATGAATACTCTAAATGCCATGTACAGGGTCAAGTGATTTTCAATCTATTAGCTTTTGGACACCTACATCAATCCTGAGGATGGTCTCATTATCATCATCTCCAAATTAAAAATAAAAATATTGGTCCCTGGAGCCACACTGCCCTGCTTTGTGGGCTATGGGACAAGTTACGTGAGTTCTCTGTGCCTTCATTTCCCCCTCTGTTATCCATTACGCAGTAAGCTCTAGAGGTAGTAAGAGGTTGGTGACTCAGGTTTATCTTCTTGCTCAGGTCTGGAGCTGGGATGTGAACCCCGTTCTGTTGGGCTCCCAAGTCTGAGCTCTAACAGGTGGGTGAAAAGACCCAGACTCTCAAAAAACACACACATGCACACACACACACACACACACACACACAAAAAAAAAAACACACAAAAAAACAGATTACTGCCCAAATCTAAACATCATCAAGGCACTGGCTAGCAAGGCACTTGAGACTGACCCCTAGCTTTCCCTCCTTTCACCAAAGGAGTTGGAAACTCCGGAACAGACACCTGCAGTCACTGCCTTAGGCTGGAGCTGGAGGCACCGAGTGGACCTCCTCACCGGCCCCGCCCCTTCAGTCTGTCCCCGGCTTGCTCTTTCTAACCACTCTAAATCTCAACTGCCAGTTTGGGGAAACTTTATGCAGTTCAAGCCCATTCTCTGCTCTGTGCCTGCCAGATAGGCGAGGTGGGCATTTGGGGGGTAAGGAAGCGGATTTTCCCTGCCCTCTCCTGCGCTGACATCTCCCCCACCTCCCACCCTCCATGAGCAGCTGCCCTGGCCTTGAGTCGCTAACTTATATTTCCTCGACGGTAAACTTGGCAGACTTTTGACATTACCCTGGCATCGTTCAGATTACACACTACTCTTTAAAAAAAATAAAAAAAAAAAGAGCCGAGCGCTGGCTGGCTGGGGAGGGAGATCCACACTAGAGGATGGGTTAGCATTCCTGGTTCCCCCACTGATGAGTTTGTGCAGCTGGCCTCGGGGAGAGCTCCGGTAGCATCTGGGGGACCCCGAGGGTTCTGGGGGATCCTTCTCTCCCCCACCCTTCGCTCCCCTTCCCGGGTATGGGACGCCAGGGGGGGGGGTCCGGAGGGTCGCAGAGCGGCCCGGCGGGGCGGGGTGGGGCGGGGGCGGCGCCGCCTCCCTCCTACCTTCGCTCCCCGTGCAGCACGTAGGAGCTGCGGAAGAAGCCCAGCAGCTCGTTCTCGATCAGGGCGCTGTAGATGATCTTCAGGTTGTAGTTCCTCTGCGCGTCCAGGCTCCGGTTGAGCACCACCACCAGCACCTGGGTCTGCGGGTAGAGGAAGAAGCCGGCCACGGGCACGGCCCCGGCCGCGCGGTCCTCGGCCACCTGCACCCTCTCCACGGCCACGCGGGAGGCGTGCAGCACCACGTAGCGGGTGGCGTTCCGGCACGCGATCTCCACGTTGACCTCGCCGGCGAAGGTGAAGTTCTCCATGAAGGCGGTGAGCATCAGGTTGTAGTGCAGCGGCTTGAGGTGGCCGGACAGGCGCAGCTGCGTCCAGGGCTGCCCAGGCTCCTCCTGCTCCTCCTCCGACGGCGCCGGCGGCTGGGCGGACGGGGTCCCCGGGGTGGTCTCCCCGGAGGCGGGCGAGGAGTCCCCGCCGGCCGGGGGGGTGCGCCGGGCAGAGCCCGGGAGGCTCCCGTTGCCCCCGCCGCGCGGCGGGAAGCCGGCGGGGCCGCCGTCCGCGCTGGCCCCGCACCCGTCGAAGCGCAGGCTGAGCAGCACCGCGAGCATCGTGACCGCCAGCAGCGCCACGATGGACACGGCGAAGGCCAGCACGAGCCGCTTGTGCACCGTGATGTGGCGCTCGGTGGTGCGGGGTCGCACCCCCACCGAGTCCGCCCACGGGTCCGAGAGCCCCCTGCCGCCGGGCCGGAGCGCCGCGTCGTTCTCCCCCATAGCGGCCGCCGCGAAGGGTGAGCGGCTCTTCTCGGCCCCCTCCTCCTCTTCCTCCTCCTCCTTCTTCTTCTTCCTCTTCTTTTTCTTCTTCTTCTTTTTCTTCTCCTCCTCTTGCTCCCCCCGCTCGCCGTCCAGGGCCATCACACCGCCTCCTCCCCCGCCCCCGCCCCCTCCGGCACCCCCCGCGGGGCCGCCCGGGCCAGCGCCGGCGGCGCGGGCATCAGAAGGCGGGCGCAGGCGGCTGGAGGGCGCGTCGCCGGCGGGACCCTGGGGAGGCTGCGGGCCCGGGCGCTTTGAAGACGGACTCTAGCCTCAGGCGACAGCACCCTCCGCGCCCCCCATCACAGCCCCGCCTCTCTCCCCCGGCACCGGCGGCCGGGCGCGGGGTGGCGAGCTCTGGGACGCGCCCAACTTGGAAAGCGTCTCTCCGTCCGGAGGCGCCGCTACTTCTCCGGGAGCGCGGGGCGCCCCCGCCCCTGAGCGCCCCCGGCTCCCGGCCGGCCCGCCCCTGCGCCGAGCGATCGCCGGTTCCGCGGGCGCCTTCCTGCGGGTCCTTGTGGCTGGAGAGGACCGCGAGCCGCGGAGAGGGAAGTTAGGGCTTCCGCTTTCTCTCCCCGCTCCGGCGGCGGCGCTCCGTCCTCGGGATGGGCTGTGCTCGCAGCTGCAGAGGCGGCGGCAGCAGCAGCGGCGGCGGCGGCGGCAGAAGAAGACTAGGCGCCCGAGCCATGCACCCCGCAGCCGGGAAGGAGAGGATGGCCGGGGAGGAAGCGAGCGACTGGGGTGAAGCAGCCGCGTGCAGTCCCAGGGCCGCCGAGCTGCGCCGGGAATCTGTCCTGGAAGAGCCTTCTCTCCTCCCCGGACACTTTAAGCCGCGGCGGCGGCCAGCGGCGAGAGGTTGCAGACCGGACAGCGAGCCTCCCTCTTTGCGATGTTGCTCCGGCCGCCGGAGGACACAAGTGAGCAAGAAGTGCCGGGCCGGGCCATCCCCTTCAGGTAGATGACGCCCTGGGTGTCCTCGTTATCCCCGTGGGGAGAGCCCGAGTGTGTGTGTGTGTGTGTGTGTGTGTGTGTGTGTGGTGTGTGTGTGTGTGTGTGTGTGTGTGTGTGTGTGTGTGGAGTGCGTGTGCATGTGTGTGCCCGTGTGTGTGCGTGTGCACAGGCTCCGGGTCTGGATCCCCCAGGCTACTCGGTATGCATTCAGGGACTGAAACTCCCGGAGAAAAAGGCAAAGGAGAGAGCGAGGGAGCGCAGGGAGGCAGGAGAGGCGGGAGGGAGGGGAGCGGCGGAGAGGCTGAGGCAGGCACTGGGAGATTAGAGAGCTTTTCTCCTCTCTGTCACACTAGACACCCACAGCCACAGAGGGGGTTGCTGAGCCGCCCGCAAGAAGTACATTGTAAATCTTCAGCGCAACAAGCCCCGCAGTCACCCCTCTTCCTGGCTCAGCCTCGCCGCGTCCCCCCGGAGGAATCCTGGAAGCCTTAGGCTATTAACACCGAGAGCAAAGGCAGACCCTGCTGGGGAGACTTGGCGGAGTCAGATTTCACATCTTAGCCCGCCTGAGGATTGGGAGGATTGTATGTAAAGTCAAATAAATTCTCCAAAGCCCAACTGCGTGTATTATGCAGTGTGATGTGTCTAGGTGTGCAGTATTAAAAGAAGGATTAGCGATGAACTGTTAGAATCCTCCAGAAATAAAGGCTAAAGAAAAGATACACACACACACACACACACACACACACACACAGGAATAATTTATATTTTTAGATTGGGGGCATGATTAAAGTACAATGCCTTCAGTGTAACATACAGAACTAAAAACTTGAGGCTGAGAAAAACTGGGAAGATGAGCCCCATTTAGACTGACTGGAATAGTGAACACATATTGCATGATTGGTCAGTTTTTCACTTCAATTAGCCAGTTACTTTTTTGCTGTTTTTAGTGTTGTCGTGAAAATTGTTCAAACTCTTTCCAAATAGTTACCAGTAGAAAGTGTTTATTGGCAACAGGAGCATCAAAACAGGTCTCTAGACCATTGGCTGGATATGGACCCTTGTCTAAGTGTAGAGAAGTTTTAAATTCTATGTAGAGTGTACATGAGTATATGGGTTATCCAATCCTTAGAATTTGTGTAAAAAAACTTAAGTGAAACTATTCAGAAAAGAGCCATCCCAATGGTAACAACTAAGTGGCAGCAGTCTCTGGTTTTTGTTTTTGTTTTTAAATAAAAAAAATTGTGATGGGCTTTAGAGAGAAAGAAAGAAAGAAAGAAAGAAAGAAAGAAAGAAAGAAAGAAAGAAAGAAAGAAAGAAAGAAAGAAAGAAAGAAAGAAAGAAAGAAAGAAAGAAAGAAAGAAAAAAAGAGAAAGAAGTAATTCTTTTTATATTTCTTCATATCTTCAAATCCTGAAGGGATTTAAAAAAATCACATTTTTTATTTTTATTTTTTACAAAAAGGAATGTTTAATGTTACTTGCTTTGGAGTCCTGAAAATACTTAATTAAAACATTGTGTTTGTCTTTAAAGCATGACCAGAAAGAAGAAACCAAATACACATCACCTTTAGCAGGATAACCACTGAAAACGTAGCCCTGATCCATACAGCTCATTTCCATTTATCCTCAGACAGGACACAGCCCCATTGCCATCCATTCTCAATGTCCATTTGAAGCATTTTTAAATGATGATGAAAGGAAGTGCCAGGGTGGTTTTTTTTTTAAAGCATGTTGTATGTGGGCCGTTAGCAACAGACCAAGGGAAATGCCACATTCTGTTCAAGTTACTTTTTTCTGTTCTGTTTTTAAATCTCTGTGCTCTTGTCCATATGTATCTGGTTGTGTGCATTTTAAGAGTTGAGGAGTTGGGGTTCACTAGATTTGTTGTTGCTTTTCTTTACAGAATCAGGAAATACATTACAGGCAGGCATAAAGCGCTGTGTGACTCTTAGCAGGTTACCAGACTTCTCTGAGCTCAGGGTATGAGTCTGGCGGTTCCGGATTATTGCTCTGCAGTCCAGGATTCAGTTCGTTTGGATTATTACAGGAATCCCCAGAAGTCTGAGAACCACAGTTTACATGAAGAGCTTACCCACTAAGCAATATTTAAGACCTTTCTCTAAAATGCTTTTAATCAAGAAAAGATTCAGACTTTTTATGATCCTCCTGGTTTTTATCAATGAGCTATGTGCTTTTGAAATTATTAAATGCAGTTCTCAAGCATCTCTGAATTAAAGACTACATTTCTCAATTAGTAAAGTTTCTACTGATTGTGATTACGTTAGTGGATGGGTTATCTTTGAGATCCAAGTAGAGTGGACACAAGCTTATTAGCACAAAGTGGACACAACTTATTAAAACATGGATTCCCCTAAACTGCATCTATATCCAGTGAACCTAATATCAAAGTCAAGTGCATATATATTTTTTTCTCTCAAGTTGATGTTACAAAAGGATCCCAGTGAGTTTTCCTTTTTTTTTTTAATTTCTGAAAGTATATAACATCCTTCCCTTGAGAAGCAAGCACTTTGGTAAAATCATATTTTCTAGAGGATGCCCATTCTACACTCCAACAAAGAAAAAAAAATTTCAAATTGTGTACCTAACAAAAATATTAAAGCAATGATTCACTAATGCTCCTAGGAAGAAGTTGCCTTCAGGGTTGTGGATCACTGAATTTGAGATAGTTTTGACTTTGCCAACACTAGAGTCCTGTAGTGGACTGATGCTTCTCTCAGAAACACATTTATTGTCGGGAGAATTTTATGATTATTTCCTTAAGCTAATCAATGTCTTTAAAGCATTTTATAGTCATGTATGATTTAGGGGTTTGTAAAAGTTAAAATAGTTTGAGTGCTTAATACACATAAGGCCAAATAGAAATGATTTGAATTAAACCTACACTTGGGCCCAGTAAATAATCAAAATGAACTAACTACCTTCAGTGACTGAGCTGACTTCGGAGTCTTTACCCTTTGATTGCTCACACTTGGACTGGTTTTTTCTTTTTTTCTTTTCACGGTGGTTTATATGTAGAGGCACACTTAAGTGTCCTTGTATACTCAGCCCCTTCAAGTGCAATGAGTGCTCTGTATCAGAGGCCTCTTAGCTCAGGAGAAAGAACTATAATAAGTCCCATCTGCCCTCACTCCCCTACATTATCCTAACCTGGTTACTTAGATTCCGTTTCTTGGTGTGTCGTTATAGAAACAGTATCATAGGAGTTAGATGAGGTATCCTCAGAAGTGTCTTCCAGTCCTCAAACTTTTTGAAAGAAATTCCAACTCTTATATACTAGTCTCATTATGCTCTCAGGGGATTTTTAATTAATCTTCTTCATTGAGAAGCAAGCAAAGTAATTAAAAACTATGTTTCTTGTGTGAAGAGACTTTCTAAAAATATGCTGTTCTGGAAAAAGCACATGGGGGAAACAACCCCTGCTACTGAGGCGGTGAGGACAGGACTGATATCTTTTAGGAGAGGATATGTTCCTGGAGACCTCACACCATTGGAGACCAATGCTGAGAATGGCTGAATGGCGGAATCTCTGTTTACCAGCTACGGTGGTGCCGCCACCGCCATGTGGCAACAATAAAACAGCAGTTTGAAATGTAAGGTTGTGATCATTGGATGTAATTTTATTTGAACTACCTTCAGTGAATGAGCTGGCTTCGGAGTCTTTACCCTTTGGTTGCTCACACTTGCACTGCTTTTTTCCTTTAAGGAACTCATATCATTGCAGACTTTACTTATGTTTGTATATTGCATAACTTCAAAATGTCATACCATTTGACCACAGCATTTGTCAACATTGTTGATGAGCTTCAGATGAGAAATACCCTTCTAGATAGGATATTCTAGATAGAACATTCCTCAAGAGGACAAGTGTTTAAAATTAGCCAGCATTAAGACTTCATGATGTCTGTGGTTTGCCAACTACAATTAACACCTTGATTTAACTATCGTCTGACTTTTGTGTATTTAAAAAGATTAATCTGAATAGAATTA